TCGAACACTCGTGTTTTGTTCCGTGCACGGGGACCCCACGACCGTAACGCCAGTCCAGTCAGTGGTGTTGTCTGTAGGATGGGGATGTTCGATCTACAATAATTGGAATGATCTTCTTGCAGGTCACCGGAGAGCAGTGCGCCGGCGTCGGCAAACAGTTCACGAGCAAAGACATTGAGGTTCTCGGTGCAAAAGAAACCTCTGGTTGCCGCCGCGATCGTTCAGTCGTGCTGCGGGAGATGCCAGGTGAAGTGCAGCAAGGATCCACGAGCAGGGCCCTTGGACCAATGCAGGTGCGATGCTTGGGGAGCAGCGCCAGGTTGTTACGAAGCCAAAGCTGAGGTCAAAGTTCATCGATACTACGGAGGCCACCTGCCTTGTGTCTTCGAGAACGAGGCGTGGACGAAGTCAAAGGCTTCCCGGACCAAGCCGCAAAGGCGAGTTTCGCAAGCTGTTGCAGGTTGTTTGTCCGCCAGAAGCAGCGGGAAAGACAGTGATCGACAGGCACTCAGGTCTGCCAGCTGCGCGTTGTTCCTCTCAGTTATGGTTGGGTCGGACAGAAAGTCCATGTATGAACAAAGACGGGCTCTTCGAACCTCGATTCCGAGGCACTCGCCAGCTGGCACGACGCTATGAATCTGCCGCACTTCATGGCGCGTCGGGGGAGTGCGGGGAGAGACTTACAGAGGGAAAGAATGCGGGGTAGACAGAGAGAGAGAGAGAGAGAGAGAGAGAGCGAAAGAAAGAAAGAGAGAGAGAGCTAGTCCAGTGCTGGTGTGCGCCTTAAGGCCGGCGGGGGTTTCTTGGGCTATAGTTTAGGTAGGGGTTTGAAGTGTTGTGAAACGGCCTTCCTCATCTGCCTTAGCTCTCTTGGACTTACGGACCACCAGGGCGCGTTCGCGCGTGGAGCCAGGGGGGGGGGTGCCCACTTGCTCTTTTCTGTGGCGAAGAAGAGAGCGAAGTACGTCCGGTATGCGCCGGAGAACAGAACAAAACAGAATAAACAGCACAAGCAGAACAAAACAGAGAGAGAGAGAGAGAGAGGGAGAGAAGGAGAGAGAGTTCGCTCTGCCTCCTCCTGCCCCGGTAGAGAGGGAGAGAGAGGGGGATAACCCTGCAGAAAGAAAGAGAGAGAGCGAGAGCGAGAGCGAGAGCGAGAGAGCGAATCTGCACAGTTGGAACTTGCTTGACAGTTTTAAGCATGTTTGTTCCTTGTTGCACCCTGGGGAGAGCCGCCCGGAACAACTATGAGTTACCAGCTTGCGATAAACAGTGAGTGGGGGAAGCAGAGCTGGTTTCGCCTTAGATGAGCGAGAGATGCGCGCCGTTTTTCTGCGATCACCGCCGATGTTCGTGTGTGCATATAACCTCTTGCCTCCTGCAACGTTGTCGGGGGCGCAAGATGTAGGGGGTTTCGCCCTGCATCATAACCCTGTCGCAAGCAAGTAAGCAAGATGCACATAGATTGCCCTCAACCGATTCCGTGGGAGCTTGTGTCTAGTGAACGGTGCGTTCACGACTCCCGGAAGGGGAAGTTGGCACTGAAAGTCGTCATATTTTGCGTAGCGGGCATGTCGGCTTCGAAAACACTGCGCTCACGTCAGGCCATCAGAGATATCGACTCTATCAGGCTTTTTTTTGCTAGCGCAACATGTCACCAGTTCGCAAGTTCGAACCCCCGCACGGATGTAGCTTGGCATCTCACAGGGCTGCGAAAAGACGCTCTGCAGCTTGAGGGACCGTGCGAGGCCATACTGTGGAAACACATCCACCACCACGGGAAACAACAGCTGGCGGACCAAGCCTGACCGAGGCATGAGTGTAGAGCACAAGCACTAGCAGATATTGGGATGAGCTGGCGGCTGTCCGGCAGAAGCACTACAGCCAATCGGCTCAGTTCTATATGCAAATTCGAACCTGGACTCATGCTGGCGAGATCTACAAAGCAATTCGGGGGGATTGTACTCCGGGCCATGGGAGAACTGCTGATTCACCCCCTTCAGGGCAGTGGGGTTGCCTGCACGTGTGGAATTCTACAGAGAGCAGAGGTTCCTGTTTGTGCCAGGAGTCGAACGCCTTCTTCTGTGACCATCCCACCGGGCGTCGGTTGAACCAGACGGCAGCTTTGGAGGCCCAGTAAATGGGAGTCGTGGAGAGAACAGGAGAGGAATCCAAGCTGTCCGGAAGAGGCTGCAACCCAGCTGGTGAAGAATGTCGGCATCTCAGTGTGTCTTGCCGAAAACGAGTCCGAAGAGAAGCTGTGTCTGCAGCCGAGGATGAAAGTGTGGGCTTTGGATTCGAGTCGCAAGGTCATCACGAAGGCCTTACTCGCAAGGCCATGGGCCTTCGAGACACGCTCATGCCTTGTGTAAAGGCGGCAAATTTAACTAGCAACATCCAGCAACTCTTTGGGCATGGAGTGAATGCCGGTCGTGCACCGGTGAAATTTTGAAACGAGCAGCCTCGTGTTCCATCCCTTGGCGTCACGGCGCTAGAACGACAATTGGCTGCCCATCTACCCTGATCAGTTGAGCTGCAAATTGGCAAAGGGTGCTCCGTCCCTGCAAAAGATGCCTGCAACATCCTGAACCCTTCAAGATGTTGGCTAGGTGGCATGAGGGAGCTTAACCGGCTTGCTCTTCCTCAGTCAGTTGAAAGCGTGCTCACACGATGTGGATCACAAGGCCCATCCAAAGTTCTGCCAAGAAGACCCCGAATTCAAGACTTAGTTTCTAGCCACACCCCATGAACCTTCGCCGGCAGCCGGCCTCTCTCCTCGTGCACCACAAAGGCAGCCCGGCCACCAGCCTTCAGGAGCAGAAAGGCTGTCTTGGCAGAGCTTGCACGTTGTGCTTTGCGCGAACCCTCAGCACCGGCCGAGCCCAAATATGGCGATCGTGATAACCCCCTCATTTGGTGAGTAGCATCCAGAGCTCCTGCTGAGCTCGCGTTGTGGAACGCCTGGGCTTCGAGATGGCGGAAGTGGCCAAGCAAACCAAAACCTGCAGCAGCTCAGAGTCCACGCGTCTGGTGACGCAAAGACACCTCCCCTCCCCTCCCCTCCTCTGCTCTCCTCTGCTCTCCTCTCCTCTGTGTTCTGAGGGGTCGATGCAGAGAGCCGCGGCGCGGGCGCGGACGCGCTCCAACGCGACCCAAGCACACGCCGAGAGCTCTTCGGCGACGGCAGCGGAGCACAGAAGTGGCGCATCTCGATAGCCAGAGCTTCTGCCCGACAGCCGTTCGATCAGCCCGGCAGAGTGTGATGGAGACACGGCAGCAAAACCATGGTCTAAAGCCGACAGAGCAGATGACATTCTTGTCGACATCTCGTGCGTGCAGAGTTGTGGTAGGCTCGGAGAGCTTTTCGCTCTCTGGCGAAGCACTGTCATGAAAAGCCGCTGAAGTGCGCTGTTCCCTTGATCGTGGTTCGTGCAGTTGCCCTTGCATTTGCACCTTTCCATTTCCTTGCCCGTGCAGGTACAGCATTGGGGCGGGAATAAATTACATTCAGCTCGTGAAGAACATCCCATACGCAGGAGGAGCCATGGGCACGGGTCGGAAGCTTATAACCACGGTATGTACTGACGTGATTGCAGTTGACCAAGCTAAGTAGGCTTGGTCGAATGTTTGTTGAGGTGACGGTAAATCCAATCCCCTGTCCGGGCATTTTACACCGGATGGAAGTTATGTGTCCAACCCATACCAGCTTTGGCGCCTAGGGTCACTGCCTCAGAGCGCTGTACATTTCGGTGTCGAGTCGATTCTTCGGGTCGATCTCAGAGCATGGTGACCAAGCCCGCTGAGGGACGATGCTGAACATCGCAAGCGATTGAGCGACCTGCTTCCTGAAAGTGTCCGGCACTTGTCAGTCACGGATCTATTCAGTCCAGCGGATTTGACTACACGCGCTCAGCATCGTTCAATGAAGCACATCACCAAACTAACATGCAGGCAGTGTCCACCTGAGGCATCGAACATAGCGGCAACCACGATAAGTTGCCGGGAGTTTTTGGAACGGTGTGCGTCATGAAAATGGGCTGCTGAGGCAGGTAGGCTGCGCTCTTGCCGTCCAAGATCGTCCAAGCATTCGCATGGCTGATTCCTTCGAGAAACTTGTGACCTCTGTCCCCGATACCGTAAGCCCAAAAGCCCAATGTTCTCACAGAGGTCTGCGCCGGTGGCATCTGTGAGGGAATGATGTACTGGACCTCAGGGCTCGCTCGCAGTCATGCGTTGGACGTGGTGTCAGCTTTCGAGGCTCGGTTGCCAGAAGACGAAAATCAGACCCATCAACATCCCTAAGGAGCCCGTGAGCCGGTTGTGCACCACTTCGAAAGATGTTGTAACGTGACCGAGCATGCCAGATCAGCTATAAGTTCTCGCGCACCTTCAACTGGATCCCACACGTCCGCCTGGCATGTTTGAGCGCAGCAGGTCGTTTCTCGCATTGCTCGGTGTGCTTGTGGTGGTTGTGCTGGTCTGTGGTGGTGACCGCTATGGGGTCTTGTTGAGTGGCTCCATGGCCCAGGTCGGTCCCAGTGCACGACATGTTATAGCTTACGGCAGGAAGCTTTGCTTCGACTCGGCTCTGTGCAATTTGCGACCCCAACCCAGTAGCCCAGGCCTGATGGTTCTGCCAGCTGCCGTCAAAGAAGCTGGCAGGGAGGCTCGTCGGAAAAGTCTCTTCTGCACGGCTGCCCAGTGGTCTTGGCGCACGAAGCGAAGGCGCAGCAAATGGAGAAAGCATTGGAAGCGAATGGCACCAATCAGCTGGGCCCTTAGACGCAGAGAGGCAGATCAAGGAGCTCCGGCTTCACCTTGCGAGGTCGCAACCCTTGCAAACGATGGCCGAAGACTTTCAGAAGATCTTTCAGCCTGAGTGCGTCTCCAAGCCGGATCACTGCTTTTGCGGTCCCTGCCTTGCGTGCCTTGCACGGCGTCTCAGGCAGAGCCGTCGACTGCAGCAGAAACCTTTTCAGACTCCCGCAGGGGTGGGCGAAGTGATGCGACGTGTCGGAGTAATAGAGACTTCCGTGTCGACAGTTCCAGGGTGAGTTCAGAGAAGAGACGCTGGAAGACATGGAGGCTTTCCTGACCACAGCACCTTTCCAAAGTGGAGGGCTGTTCCGAGCCAGGGTTCCGTTAAAGGTCTTGACTGTGCAAGACTGAGCCCACATCACTGTGTGACAGGACGATTGGAGCCGCATGCTCAGCAGTTTCCAGCTCCAGGCATGAGTGAGCGAAATGCGCTACGAGGCAAGCATGGTGCTTTTGACGAGATGGTCGCTTCGGTCTAAGTTTCCTCGACACTGCTTTTAAGGCAAACCTGCGGCTCCCTCACAACCCTTCTCTGCGTACGGTTCGGAGGTGCAAATCACCGAACCCATGCACTATCCGATTACGGAGGAAGCTGTATGCCCAGCTTTGCGAAGATGTACTCCTGTTCACGGGATGGTTGGCAAAACGCATGCGTGGTCCAAAAGCACATGATCCAAGCCACACTTCAGATCATGGAATACCTGTTGGCAGCGGATGCTTTTCGCGGCCTCGAGGCGAGGGCATGCGGTTCTGAGAACTTACTCACTTTGCCATGTGGTTCGAGAGGACGGTCGAGAGGCAACGCACGGCCTCGTGCTCGATCGCACTCGACAATGGCATTGCAAGTGGCCCACATATGGCTCTGCCCAGGTCCAATCAAAGTCATCGGCTATGAGCTGCTGCACTCCCCAGGGGCTGCAGACAATACCCAAAAACATTCGAAGGCGCAAAGACCATGAAGTTTGCCGTCATGCCCGTGCCGTGTAGCACTGCTACTCAAGTTTCTTTCAATCAGACTCTCCAGGTGAAGGAGAGGAGGCCTTCGCCTTCCCGGCAGAGAGCAGCAGGAACCGTCCAAACTCTCTCAGAGGCAGGCAGATTCGCATGTGGTTTGGAGCGATGGCAGCCGCCTTCGGACAAGACATGACAGTGGCGAGGCAGATTCGCAACTCTGGGATGCGACGCGCAGCCATCACCCATCTCAAGGAGAGCCCGCGGTGGTGCATGTTGCTGTGCATGTCGCAGACCCTCCTGTTGTCACTATCCAGATGTGAGGTGCGGTGCTGCAGACAGGCCTCGGCCAGCCCCTCAAGAGAAATTAGGAGAGTGGACATGCAGAGGCTTAGAATCTTAGAAGTTCCAGGACTCTGTGCTGTGGCGGCGGCACTTGCTTCGTCGCTGTGTGTGGCCCTCCTCGCAAGGGGCCGACGAGGCAACGACCAGCAAAATAGCCGGGACGTGCAGTTTCGCTGCCTGCGGAGCCCTTTGTGAAGGCTACTCAGCTTTATCCTCACAGAGTGAAGCGAGTGAAGCGGCTTCCGCTTAGCGTAATGACTTCAGCTCCTGCAAAGGAATTTTTCTTTCCCGTCTCACACCTTCAAATCTTTTGTAATCAGACTGTCCCAGAATGGTATGGTTCTGCTGAGCTTGCCGCCGACGTGCCGGCAGTTAGGATATGCACCCGTTCCACAGCACCAGCAGCCACTTAGACTTTGACGCGCTTCAGGCGATGAACATTCCGGATTCTAGAGATGTGTATGTAACGGGTCGTGGCTTTCAAGCCGAAATTGTCCAGATGTTTGCCAGTAATTTAGAATTTGCCAGCAGAGCAGTTTTTCGCACGCCGACCCCCGACTCCGTTCAAGCGCGGAAGAGAGGACCAAGGAATGGAACTGTCGGGTTTGACTCGTTTGACCCACAACAGCAAGGGGGGTTTTGGAGTCCGCCGGGCGCAGGTCCTCGGATCAGGGCCCACGACTTCTGCGACCTCCACTTCCGCTCCTGCCCTGGGCTCGGCCAAGTGCTTCGATGCCTCTGCTCGTGTGCTGGAGTCGGGTTCCTCATTGGTGGGTGCTGTTTTCAAGGGACGAACTTCTGCAACGAGATCTCTAGGTCAGCAGACTGAGACGTGCATGAAGGATGGGGTGTCAGCCTCCGTCGCACGGGCTGCTGCAGCAGCCAACGGCTCACTTTTTGCTGGTTTGGCCGTCATGGTCACGACTGAGCGGGTAGTTTGCACGATTTTCGACATGGGGGCCCAAGCCCAAGGCGCAAGCCGCCAGGGTTCACGTGGCTTTTTCTGGAGGCTAGTGCCTCAGTGAGCGATGGGCCGTGAAGCGGTGAAGTACAGGCATTCCTCAAACGAGAGGCCGAGCAGTTGCGGGGGGATGCGCGCCTGCCTCCATCGGTGGTGCTGGCAATGATGAGGCATCGCAAGAAACAGCGCACAGTGCACCAGTAATCATTCGGCAGCGATGGAGACACCAGCTTTCGTTTGTATCACGGCCAGGAGAGCATCACCTTTGACATACCCCTACATCTTGCGGACAAGGTGCAGATTTTCTTTAGACTACTGTATCAGCGCTTCGCCCTGCTCTGCATCGGTCCAGTCACAAGTAACAGCACAGCTGCATTGCACTGCATTGGCATCGTAGAAAGCAAGACTGCCACAAGCGTGTGGAACTCAATCGCAGGATGTTGCTTCCGATGAAGTCCATTGCACGAAGTGCTAGCAATACCAACCAAGTGTTTGCCAGGGGCTGGGTCCCTCCTTCTATCTGTATCCGGCCGAGCTGTGGCTCGAGCGGGTCCCACAAGGGTCCTTGGCAAGGACAAGCTCCGTTTTCTCGAGCCATGGTTTCTGCGGACCTGCCGACTTCGGAGCAGCTCAACGGCGTCACCACGGTGACTGGGGCCCTTACATAGGCAGGTCTCGAGGCTGGGGGTGCGTTGACTCGACATTGGGAGGTGTCCCAGGTTTTCGGATCCTTGGGAATGAATAGCCCTGTTGATGCTCTCCGCACGGCGGTCTTGGTCGCGCGCGTCGCCGTCCTCGTCAGGCACAGTGGGCGAGCTGGACTACGTGGCCCTCGGGCAAAGAGGTGGTCGAGTCGACGCAGCTAAGGCGGCCGCGAAGAGTGAAGGCAGACGTGGAGTTGTTCCTGACAGTCTCGTCCCCCTGCGGCACCACCGGTCGTGCCGAGCACCGCAGCGGGAGCCCCGGGCGGTGGGACCGATTCGGCAAAGACGAGGTGAGCACGGCCCGATAGACGGGTGCTTGTGCTCGAGAAGTACAAAGGAGGATGGGTTCGGCCTGGGGCGGAACCGTCCCCGGACCAGGTGTCCGCCCTCAAGGTGAGGGTCATGGACCTGGACTTGTCCCCGCATGCGGACTTCGCCCTCTTCGTTAACTTCCAGCACAGGTTCGCAAAGAACCTCAAGTTCAAGAACCACATCCTGCAGCCAGACGGGAGCTTTACGACGGTGGAGGTGCCGCGTCTCTCGGGCTCTCCCAGTGGAACGTGTTCAAGAATGCCATGCTCATGTTCGAGGTGAAGGACCCGAGCGGGCACATCCTGCCACTGGTTGGAGTTGTACAGTTGTACAGGACCGGTTCCGGGACCATTGGTGGTCCGGTACCCTCACGTGTGGTCTTGGTGGTGGCAGAGGACCAGTGCCGCACTGACCTTCCTTTGCGCAGAAACATCCGCTTCATGGAGTCCAGAAAGCCAGGTGGCACTGGGTCGCACACCGACCTCGCAGGAAGCGAGGCAGCAGACCGGAAGAAAGGCCTGGCGAGGCAAGGAACTTAAGGCTCAGCTGAAGAAGCATCAGGTGCAGGATGCCACGGCGATCGTTCCACCTCCCAGCTCCCGCTGCCCCTTCGATCGAGGGGAGGAGGGAAAAAATCATCAAAGGCAAAGGGGGGCAAGCGACGCCTCAAGAGCGACGTGGGCCGTTTCCTCATTGACCGGAACGGGACGTGTGTCTGTTTCGGTTAGGGTGATGGCACCTGATCCGAGCCACGCCCGAAGAACTGTGAGAACTGAGGGGCGGTGGTTTGACACAGCCGGCAGAGGGTTTAGTTTTGTAAAGTAGGCCTGCCGGACGGCCGGCCTGCTGGGGGCTCTTTGCTGGGGCCGGCGGTAAGGCGGTCAAGGCTGGCGCGGGGCACGCTGTCTGGGAGCTTATGGACAAGAACTGCGGGCCAGGCGGGTAGGACCGGGTACAAAACACGACGTCTTCGTGGAAACCTTGGAGAAGATCTGAAACCCAAGCCCCTTTCAGCCAAGCAGGTTCAGGTCCGATTCAAAACCGGAGGGATGGGGACCTGAAGCGGAGGAGGGCAACCTTTTGGCATTCAGAGCTGAGTCTTTCAGAAGGGCGGGAGGCTGTTACCCCCTCAACTCCTGGATGTAATAGCTTACCCCCTTCAAGCGTCGCAGAAAAGATCGAAGGGTTGTTGCGGCGCACAACAACCTGCAAACATCATTACGAATGCAGTGTGCTTCCACCCGCTTGCTAGGTGCAGGGAAGCCGCCAAGCACATGCGCACCCCTTTGACGGGTAAGGTCCGGTCGGCGGAGCACGGCCAGGAGGTCTGGCGAGAAATCGGATGAAAAGATGTGCTTCGTGGTGGCTATGCGCCGGTCAGGCGTCAACGGGACGACCAAGTGCGGCGAACGTATTGTGCTCCCGCAAGCCGTGGATGCCGAGGACAGCATTGCGCTGTGGGCGCGAGCAGGCCCAGGAGAAGAGGTGGAGCTCTACACTGCTGCACGGTGGACATTGCGGATGCCTTCCTCAACCTGCGAATTGAGGAGCAGGAAAAAGGGTGTGTATGCGGTGGTGCGAGACGTGGAGGGCAGCTACCACTGCAAAAAAAGGTGTTTTTCGGTCTCGGCACTGCCCCCCTCGCCTGGAACCAAACAAGCGCCCTCATCTCCCGGGCCGCCCTTGCCATGCAGATCCCGCAGAACCACCGCATGGAAACCTACGCGGATGATCCGTTGCTGGCAGTCCTCCAGGAGGATCCTCTTCACGCTGGTTTTGCACAAGCTTCATCGAGGAGCGACGGTGGTGTCAGCCCAGGGCTCCTGCAGGCGGCGAGAAGCACTCGCAAACAGAAGAAGGCCAGTCCCGTTCCCGCCAGGGCTCCGCGTTCACTTGCCCCACACGAGAGGCTTCTCATGACGGGCGTGTAGTGCCTGCCCACACGAGCCAGTGGCCCTCTGCGCGTTTTGGCTGTCAGCTTCGTGGACATCGAGGGGACGCCGACGCCGGAGGTCTAAGACGGACAGCAATGCCCGATCTGTGGGCTCAGAAGAAGCAATGCTCGCCTACTTTCGCGATGCCCCAGTGGTGCGGGCCTCCAGCTCCTCCCACGCGATGGTGCTGGCAGCTGCAGGATACCCCTTACTTATCAGCCTATG